GCGGCCGTGGGCCCGGCCCTCGCCGCAGTGACGGGAATTACCACGCCGCGCAGACTGCGAGTCAGAAGAGACCCCCGCCCCGGCCGCCGCGGCGCCCTCCGCCCTGGCTCCGCAGAGCCGGGCAGTTTCGAGCTGATTTACCAGAAGCTAGAGCAGAGGGCCAGCGAAGCTCCACGAATCCTCCGGAAGGGGCAGCACAGGGGCGTCGTAGGCTGGGGGAGGGGAGAATATGGAAAATCTGGAAGATCTGGGCGAACTTGGAGAGGTGTCCCCAAGCCTCTTGCGAAGGGGAACTTGCAGGCTGCTCACTGCACCCTCGGTTACTGGATTAAGGAATGTCACTAGGTCAGGCCGCGACTGCTAATGGCGATTGGAAAAGTCATTTGCTATAGTCTGCGGGCCGGGAAAATCTGAGATGAAAGGCTGCTAGGTTGGGGTCTCAGTCACCTGCGGCTAGCTTCCAGGGTCCCATAATAGTGGGTGGTGATTCGCTCTATCATCAGAGGGGAGCGGAAACTAAAAGCGTTGATATCTGCGAATCAACTCAGCTCAGCATTAGACTTTAAAGAGTGCCGTTAGCCACATGTTAGTGTGTCAAGGGCAGAAGCAAGCCCACTAGGGTCGCTGGGACAGGGAAGTGGCGTGGAGCAGGAAAGAGAAGGCTTGTGAAGGGAGGTTTGAGAGGACCCGGGGGAGGGGGAGTTGATGGGGGCGTCGTCGACTTTTCTCTAGACTCTTTTACAACAACAGGGAATTGTTCTTTGACTCTACCCCCACTCCTGCCGGCTGAGAAAAGCTCTCTCCCAGGGGTCCTCTCATGAAATCATGATCCTCACTTCTGAAGGTTGCAAACCTTTGGCATTTCTCTTCAAGGATTTCCTTAACAAATAGTCCTCGACCCTAGGGAGCAGCGCCCCTCTCAGCTCTGACACGCGCTAATCCACCACCAGTCTGTACTTAATAGAGTTGAACAAGGTGGGTGCAGCGGGGAACTGGCAAACCGGGCCTCTCCTTGGCCTACTTGGCAAGGCCACGTGCTAGCATATTATCCTTAGACTGGACACTCAAGCAGCCAGCTCCCATTACAGCTCCCCTAGGCATCGCCGCCGCCCAGAACATGCACACACGCGCTTACACTCGAGCACCCCAACGGGCTCACACAAGCACCTACACTTGCACGCCCACCTAGCCGAACCCACACCATCGCCTATTTCGGCTAAGAACAGGAGGGGCGGAGTGATAGAGGTGAACAACGCTTGCATTTCCTCTTTCTTCTCCACGCCCCGAGGCTCGGGTCCAAGCCCAGGTTTTGGAATCCGCATAGCCTTTCTGGCTGCTTTGTTGAGAGGGAGCGCGGTGGCAGTTTTTTTGTGTGTGCCTCCTTTCTCCAGACGGGTGGTCAGGCTTTTGCAGAGTTCCTTAGTGCCCTGGCGGCGATGGAAGATCCGAGTTCCCGAGCTGGAGGGTCAAACTCACACTGTGGCACGGTGCGGGGCACCTCACACCAACCAACAAGACACCGCGGACAAATTCGGCAGCGGACAACACAGCATCCAGGAAAGTCTCCACTAAAACCACCAGCGCTTTCCCGGTGGCTTTCTGTCCCTCGAAGTGAAATAATGAGGTTTTCAAGAAGTACCCGGCAGGAACCTGCGGCGGCGGTAAAGCGTCCAGGGACTGCCGGATCGTGGAGAAAAAAAGCTTCCATCCTCTTCACACTTTAAACTTAGCCGCTTCTGGGACTTCTCTGGAGGGCGGCGGAGTTGCACCAGCGCGGACCTGCAGAGACGAGCGAGCACTTCCAAATATTTTAGGATGTGGGAGGTGACACCTTTTCCTTCAGGATTGCCCCACTGTCACCCTTCCCTGATTAGCTGATAGGAACCTCTGAAGTCCAGGAGGTAGAGGTTTGCAGTTCCCTCTGGGGACCAAGTATAGAGAGATGTTGAACGAGAAATCCAAAAACCTTGCATCGTTGGACTAAGTAACTTTTGTCGCCCTACTGCTGGACCAAGGTGAGAGGGAGGCACATTTAACGAGCTATAAGAAGTTAGAGTGGGAACAGAGCCATGTTCAAATACGTTCTTGGGTGCTTGTTAGAAAAGGTGTTTGTTGAGGGAAGGCGGGGAGGGGGGGGAAGATTTTGTGTTGGGGGGAGTTTGCTTAAGAGATGAAATCCACGTTTCTTTAATGTGGGTAGTGATAATGTGTAACTTCAGTGTTCTTGTGATTGCAAGCTAGTTTAACCTTCCTATACATCTTGCACAATTCTTAAAAATGTTTCACTCTACTTTCCCCCATTTATTTCATCTCTGTAAAGCAATACCTGGTAAATGTATCTCTCACCCTTCAATCACAATTACTTCTTTTCTCCCACCCATAGAAGCTCATTAGAGGTTGACAATAGAAGAGGAAAGCTTTGTTTTATATGCTTGTCAGTAGAAGGTCGCAGAGACTTTCAAGGAGAGACTAAGATATTCTTACCCAAAGATTTCAAGTTAACAGAGGGCAATTTTTATGTTATTTCCTCCACAGGAAAAAAAAATTATCTTAAAACAAGAGAGATGTCAGTAACAATTTCTACTTTGCCTATATAATTATTGTGGCATTAACTCACTCTGAAATCAGTGTGCTTTTCAGATTTCATTCGAATTTCTTGTAGAATAGGGTCCCTTTGCTCATTAACAGCTAAAAACAACTAAGACTTATTTCAATAAATAACTTAGTTTTAATTTTATCCTCACTATATCTGCTAGTAACTTCTTAATATATCCCCAAAGCCAATGTTTATGCCAAATCACTTTTAAAGTTATGACAAACTTCTTTCTCCACCATATCATGTTAAGGACCGATTCTCATAAGTATTGGACTGTTTTCCCAGAATTTGAAAAAAAGTTAAGTGTCTTACTAATTTCAGACAAAAGTGGAAATATGAATGTTTTACAGTGAAAGTGATGAATACTTACAGATAACCTGAGTGGTATATTATTATTTGGCACTTGCATTTCTTCTAAATCAGTGAGAAAAGCATAAAATCTACTTTATGTTAAAAGTTGTTCTTAACAGTTTTCTTGCACCATAAATTTTCTTATCTCCATAGTATGAAGTGAGTGATAAGCGGTCATTACCTTAATTTTTCTGTTAAATGTATCCATTAAACATACTTTAGAAATTATTTCCAAATTTTCTGACCAATCACTCTTGCAAGCAGCTTTGCCTTTTTTCTAATAATAGAAAGCTCAAGACTTGAAAATGATGTGAAGAACCAAGAAAATACAAGTTTCTGAACTGAAGGAAGAACATTTAAAGAGAGCAGCTAAAAATGAATAAATTAAATCCAAACATCAAGATACTTTAATAATGATTATAATGGTTGTACCCTACATAATGTTAAAATATTAAGAGTTCTGCTTTTCATAGAAAAACGTTTAATGTTATATCTGACTACAAAATACCAAAGCACAAATTGTGTTGGTAACTAGAGTTATTGAAGGTTATGCATATTTCTGTAATAAGTAAAAAGATTGATTTCTCATTTATCTACAATTGTCTGCCTGAAAGAATTTAAACTCATTTACTATTTAACAGTCCTCTGAGATTCAGAAGATATTTTTCCTTTATTTTATTTTTAATATATTTTGCTCAATCTTCTAAGGAATATACATTTACTTTGCTTTGTAGTATTTGCTTTATTGTGTAAAGATCAAGATGACCTAGTTAAAATACTCTTGAAAGCTGGATCTCACACCAAGGATCCAACAAATGACTGGTGGAAGTGAGTATTTCATTTTACTAAGAAAAGTGTTTCTGAGTTTTAATTGTTTTTTTAATACAAATACAATGATTTTTTAAAGATATTGTCCAAGACAGGAACTTTTTGAGAGCGCACAAAGAGAAGTCATTACTTCAGAGATAAATATTGCTGGGCAGACAAGGCAAATGTTAGATACTATTGGAAATAATGAGTATATTTTATCTTTCATCTCTATCTTTTTTTTTTTCCTTGCTGTTTATTTATATCCTGGTAGCAATGCCCTCTATTTGCCTGGTGCTCCCATTTAGTTAACCCAAAATATCATAGTGTAACATCCTATCTAGAAATACCTAATAGAGAAGAATGCTAAAATTGAAAACTTATATTATGTGATAGTGGCATTTCAATAAAAAAAGAAGAAAACAATAATCATTTGCTAATTCAACCTAAGTGTCACTTACTAACATTTTACCCATTTTAAAAATATGAAAACAACTTATAAAAAGTAAAATTTCTGACAGTATGACATACATATGTATATATAGGAAACAAAATGACCTCAGCTATATTAAATTTGCATACATGATTCAAAATTAAGTGGTACTATTATATATATATATATATATATATATATATTGTTTGTTTTTTAGATAACCTAATAAATCATCAAATTAAGTTTTTAATCTTGGAATAAATATTTAAAAAGTTTTATATTTATAATTCATATAGCATTTCAGGAACATCTCTACTTGTTTTTACACTACTCTGTAAGGAAGCCAATCATCACATTATTTTAGAAGACAAAAGTCTGCATTACTGTAAATATGATTTGGTTTATGATACTTGTAGGCATACTTATTGATGTTAGGTGGATGTAATACTTTATTAAAAATCAAGGAACTTGGACTTACTAGAAAAGCATAAATTACAGCCATTTATTAAAAACCTGATGATGAACTATTTATCAAAGCTCTTGCTTTCACAAATCATGCTTTCTAATGAGATTTTTCTTCCAAGAACTGCCCTTGAGTCAGATGGCCACATGTCAGCAGTAATGTGTCACACTCATGTGTTGAGTCCCTGGGATTTGGCTTTCTTACATGTCACTATGATTCTGAACTAAGAATCAATTACTCTTTATATAGTAAATGATGCATGTTCATTAAAATAATGTTGGACAATTTGTACCTACATGAATGCAGCTAATTTCTCTTAGAATAATTATTTTTAATATAAACTTAAATCTTTAATTTTCTCATCATCTCTTAACAGTTCTTTTCTCCACTTCATGACCCCTTTAGGATAATGAGTTACTTCTTCTATTCATGATTGACATTCATCATCTCCCTTTCCTTTGACTGAATCCAAGCCCTTAGCTAGCCTGATAAGTGTTTCTTTGGATTAATTTCTCAGCTATTAGTGGCAGTGATTTCTGTCATGAAAGCAAATCCCTTCAGTGATTATTTACCAACAAGCTTTCTTCCCTCTTTCTGTTTGTTCATTCCCTGGAAATTCACTGAATGTGTTGTCTAAGAGAGCCTCCTTGGAGAACTGGAGAACAAATGGTTAAGACTTTTCAGGGCTTCAAGGTACTTAGATACAAAGAGGTAACTTGACTAATTGGTATCTCTCAGCAGGATAGTTAGGAAATTTGTTTGATTTGCTAAAGAGATAGTATTTGAAAACTGGCCCCTGAAGGACAGCTAAAGTCTTGATCTGATTTCTTCAAGGACAGTATCTGACTAAGCTGCTTCATTTGATATAACTAAAAGCAACAATATATAATTAAAAACTATCTTGTTTTGATAATAGGCTCTAAATGCCCCTCTCAGTATGAAGAGTTTTACTGGGCCATAAAGAATCCAGAGCCTGCACAGTTTATTCCCAGCTTAATTAAATTAGTGTACTACAATTTCCACCTTGAGGAGGAGTTGTGTCACCATTTTCTGCACATCTGAGACATATACAGGCATGACCTACCTCTAACAGGTGCAAATGAATAGCACCACCACTTCACCCCTCACTAAAGACTCCTTTGCTCAAGTTCAACCTCACTTCATTTAAAAATCCTTTGAAGTCCTTATTCAAGGAGACAGTCTGTGGAAACTTAGTCCTTTCTGCCTGCACTATCAACAGGTAATAAACCATTCTTCCTGACAAAAGTTAGCTATTCTATTTGGGGCTTTTCTAAGTGAAGATCCTTTTGAGTATGGTATAACAAATGCCTTATTATGGCAATATCCTGCACCTTTTGAGTATGGTATAACAAATGCCTTATTATGGCAATATCCTGCACTAGGCAGTTTGAAATAAAATACAGGATAGGTCTCCCTAAGGCCCTTCAGCACAGGCCTATCCAAGTAGTGTTACTGTAGCATGTGAATTATTCCAAGTTGAGGTGATTTGAGCCATTGAAGACTCATAAGAATTTTTTACCAATCCCTTAACTACCTAGAAGTTTGAAAATTGAGGGTATTAGGATATAGTATTCTCTTAAAGAAACTTATCTAATGGAAAGACAAATATCTATATATAGATTCATCAATTAATTATCATCTGACTAATTCATCATCTGACTAATCCTTTTCTTATCATGTAAGTCCCTTCCTCTCTTACAGAAGCCCTCGGTACTACGCCATTCCTTAGCCAAGAGATAGATACAGATACTTCCCTACTAGCTTTGGATTTTCACATCTGTTTAGATTTCCCATACATATATAATTAAATGTTTTTTTCTCATGCTAATTTGTCTGATTCATTGAATCACCAGCCCATGAAGAAACTGTAGGTGGAAGGAATCCCCCTTCCTTCCCAACAGTGAAGACAAGTCTCTTGGTCACTGACTTCATAATAGATTTACCATTTAGTGGAGATTATAGACCAACAAACAAGTGATTACAATATGATCTTGCTTTTATTTTGCCAACTACAGTTTGTAATTAATCCCCAAATTGTCTAGGTCTTTGTGACCCAGCTCCCCTAAACTCTAACAATGGACTCTGTCATGCTGAGTTTCTGTTTTCTATATACCTTGACACTGTCTTGATAGCCTGTGAAATAGCCACACAAACTCCTTTGTCAAAACACAAGCTATACAGGGCCGTCCCTGGTGGTGCAAAGGGTTAGGATCAGCACTGCAAGCTGGCTGCAGCCACTTCATTGTGAGTTGGACCACCACCCCTGGAGGTGATCCACATGGCTTGGCAGACCTCTCCTGAACCACCACCTGATCCTCTCAGCAGTGTACTTAGTCAATCTGCCTGCTCTGCCTCTCCCCCCCCCCCACTGTCTCTGGCAAATTCTTTCATCCTCTGCACCTCTCTCTGTACCCCTGCTGTGGATGCATAAATAAATAAATCTTAAAAACATACACACACACAAGCTAAACACATCATATTCAATTAAGTTTTAGAATATCATACACCTGAGTTTTAATCTATGTTCTGATTACTGCTTTACTTGTGGAAATTACTTAACTCTAGACTAAATCTTTAACATTTTTGTATATAAATCAGTAATTATGATACTTAGGTTTGGGTTTGGTTGAGAGCTTTTAAACTACCCAAGTAGCACAAGTAGATACTCCATACCTATAATTTATGTTCCCCTACAATAGTCTATCTCAACATATGTCATGGATAACTTTTCACTATAAATATGATAATTGTTTGTCAAAGCATATTTTAACCAAGAATTTTTTTTCCACAAAGGGAGATTAAAAATACACAGGCAGGGCCCTCCCTGGTGGCGCAGCAGATTAAAGCACAGCACTGAGAAGCTAAAGCCACTTCTGCATGAGTTTGATTCCCACCTGCCCCGGAGGTGACCACATGGCGTGGCAGACCTCTCCTGACCCGCCCGCTGCTCCCCTCAGCAGTGTACTTCGTCGATCTGTCTGTTCTGCTCCCCGCTCTGTCCGGTGAAGCCTCTCACCGCCCCTGAGCCTCTGGCCTGTACCCCAGTTCTGTATGTACAAATAAATAAATCTTGAAAAAAAAAATACACATGCAGATGCCTAAAACAATTTAGTAATATTTTCATCTTACTTCATGATATTCTTTAATTTTGGTGATACACCATTTAGCACAATCTTGAGTAATGAAGTTGGTCTGTGCAGCCACTAATTATCCTCCAAATGTATTTTATAAGTTTAGGACTAGTTCCTTTAAGAAAACTACCCTAGGTGCTCCCTGATAGTGCAATGGATTAGGATGCAGCACTGCAGGCTGGCCTAGGGGCAACTGCTTCAGTGTGAATTCCATCCCTGATCCACATAGCTCCGCAGACCTTTCCTGTCTTGCCTGCTGCTCCCCTCAGCAGTGTATTTCCCTAGCTCCACCTATTCTGCTCCCCTCTGTCTCTGGTGAATCCTCTGTCTCTGGTGAACCCTCTCACTGTCCCTGAACCTCTGGCCTCTATCCCAGTTCTATATGCAGAAATAAATAAATCTTTAAAAAGAGAGGGAGAAAGAAAGCGCTACCCTACCACTGTGTATTCAGAGCAGCTTTCTTTAATTTTACAGTTGAATACTGGCTCTCAGACTAGTGTGTGTATATATGTACATGGTGTATATGGTATACACACACAATGTAATATTTCTCAACTACAAAACAAAGTGAAATCTTGCCATCTGTGATAACATGGCTAGAGCTGGAAGGGATGATGCCAAGGGAAACAAATCAGAGAAAAAAGGACAAATACCAAATTATTTCACTCATATGAGAAATAAAGCAGACAAAACCAAGCCTTCCAAATCTGCATATTTAGCTGTAGAATTGAGGCAACCAGAGGAAGAGTGTGGGGCATAAGGAACACAGGGCAGGAGAACTAGGGGTTCTTTGGTTGTTGATGAAATTACATCACCTCAAGAGGAGTATACCTTTATCTCAAGGTATAGTTTTAAGCATACATCTAAATATGCCTATGCAGTGTTGTAAACCAGTGTTACCATAATAATAAAAAGGTATAATTAAAAAAATTAAAGAAATGTAACTAAATAGAACATTTTGAAGAAAAATAAGTAGAATTATATAGAAATATGCACATATTCCTAGTCAGATATGGTGGATCTTTATTACATGTCTTGATTTCAATTTGGTAAAATGTAGTTTTAGATCTTAACGGTCTTAAAAGCCTATAATAAATGAAGATTTTATTAATTTTGAAAGATGGACACTTTTTTGAGGCAGTGAACTAGAATAAAGTAACTTCTTTTTCCAGTGACCTGGTCGTGGAAATCTTGATTGCATTCAGTAGTATGGCATTTACTCATTCATTTAGAAAATTGCCAGTGAGTTATGAGATGGATTCCTAGACCTTCTGCACTCATTTGTGCCTATTGTGTTCTGCCTGTATTTTATGCAACTAGCTCCTCTTTCCTGCTTTTGTTATTTAATCACTTTTGATTTATCTATGGCACAAGAATACCATTTTATAGGAAAAATGTATGCCTGTTTCCTAACACCAAACCAGATAGGAAGGATTTTGCTTGGGTTTGTAGCATTAGAAAATCACTTCTTTGAAGAGTTATAAAAGAGGCTTCTGAAAATTTTGCAGAAAATGCTTCAATTGGCACTCATAGGGATACTTCAAGTGTTAAAAGGAAAACCAACGAATATACAGTGGCTATTTTGAGAGACAATTTTATATAAATATGAAAACATTCTGTTGTGTAAGAAGATACAAAGTAATTTTATATTCACAAAGCAAATGTCTAGCTCACTAGTATATACTTTACTTTCCTTGAAAACATTTTTCTGTTTTTATGGGATGGATGAGCATATGGTTACTTTATTTTGTGTGCTTTGTTTTGACTTTAGGTATAAAGCCGCTCCCACTGGGATTCATTTGCTATGTTTTTGGTTTAGTCCAACATTTCTGTGCGATGGTATACACCAAGAAGCAAATGCTCAATTTCAGAGGCAGTAGTAACGAGGAGCACAAGAGAGTACCCCTGGATTTGAACAATTTTAGAAGAGAAAATGACCAAGCATCATGCACAAAATACCCAAGTGTGCCTGAAGTTTGAGGTACAAACCAGTCAGCAAATTTTTTGTAGCTCACATGTACACACAGTAATAACTGCCTTAAATGTCGTGAACGCAGGACTTAGTAATTTTGGTATTTTCAAAATTTAATGCTTATTTTCAAATTTAGCATTTATTCCTTGGATCTAGTAAGTATTGTAGGAAAACTGTTGAAATAGAATGGGGTAGCTGAGCCCTGCTCTCCTGTGGTCCTCCCAGGCTGGGAACTGCTTTGTCCCAACTTTTGTGACTCGCCACAAGAAAGAAAGAGGAGAGGCAAAAAGACTGAGCAAGTAAAGTTTATTGCTCCCAGGCAGCAGCAGAGAGGAGCCCCTGGGGTGGGGTCCGCAGCTACTGCCAGTGCTATAAGGGAAAAGGGTCTCTTATATAGATTCTAGGTTCATATTCCAAAGGGGTGACTCATCGCTGTGCCCCCTGATGCGAGGCCCAATTCGTTCTACCGGTATCTCCTGGATGCCAGGCCCAGTTAATTATCACCCTTGGATGGGAGGCCAGTTTATTATAGCTCTTATCTAGTCCCACAGGTAGTTGTGTTATCACAGCACCTGATCGCCCCCAACTGGAACAAACCACAGCATCAGGATGTGGGGTGAACTCTGCCTCTGATGTCCCTGAACCACCTAGGCTAGAGCTGAGCACTGCGGAGTGGTACAGAGTGGTCATTTTGGGAGCTTTCAAAAGAGGGAGCGGTGCACCTGGGCTTGCTCTTGTCACTGAAGCGGTTGTGTGCCCGTCAGCGGGGTGGATGGCTGGCAGGACTTGACTCCTGGTGGGGGTTGAGGAGAAGCTAACCTGAGCAGCAGCAGGCATTTTCCACACCCTGCTGCACCTGGCAGAACTTGGTAAGTATTTGCCATGGAGGGCCCCAAGCCACAGTTCCTAGTGCTGCATGGGTCTGGCATCCTGCTGAATCCTGTGGCCACAGCACTACTGGGCACTATTGATTAGTAATTAGACCTACTCCCGCTCTTTCTAAGGATTAACTAGAATATATAGCAGGGGGATTTGTTGTTGTTGTTTTTTTTTCTTTTTCTTTTTTATCATTTCTGCTGGGAGGACTTACATTTGCATTTATGCAGAGAGTGAATGGTTAGAGAGGTTCTGACCTGGTGACAATTTTTAGATCTGTTCCTATAATAAAATAACAATAAGATAATATGCCTATGCATAAAGCCATGTGCCAGTATTTTAAAAGCTATTTTTATGTGATTTCCAACAGACTCATTTCTCCTGTGATACGTAAATTTCAAATCGAGCTGTATAGCTAAAACTTATGTGGAATGGACAAAAGTGGATTGTATTCAAAGACAAAAAAGGTGGGGCAGTTTTTAATCAGCAAAAGAAAAGGTTATTTCAGGTAAAGTTGCCTTCCCTCAGCCAAGGGGCTCTTATCTGGGAGATGGCCTCCCTGGTGCTGGTTGGGAAACTTCAGATCTCTTAGTATAGGACTGTACTTTGGGAAAGAGGTAGAAACTGCAATAGATAATGAATCTACTTGGAAGCCTGACTGAAGGACTCCATTTGGGAGTTGGGTTTGTTGGTTTGTTTCTTTGATTTTTTTTTTTTTTAAAAAAAAATAAACTCTCAGAAAAAAATATTAGGTTGGCCAGGCTCAAGACATGAAGTGGTTTTCATGGTCTGCTTCAGGAGTTTGATTGCATCCGGTAGTCAGCAGGGACCCATTAACCGATTAATGCAAAAGAATAATACATATACATTTCTATTTTAGAAGGACTGATCATGAAGCAGAGTGGAAGACTAGAAGATCAAGGAATGGGCTGGTGCTCCATGAAAAAGAAATCCTTTTAAAGGAAAGTTTCAGTAGTTCAGATGAGGAACAGGAGGTTATGGCTATGGTGATTAATCTCATTATAAAGCAGTAGAATAGGTTGTCCTTCAGGTATCTCAATCAGAATTTTAAAATTTACACAGTAATCTAAGAAACCTAATTGCCACAGAATTTTAGAGTTAAAAGTAGGCGGTAGTTTTTAACTAAGGCAACAGTTTCTATTTGCAAGATAAATATTAAGCTTGAGTCTATTTAATTTGCAGAGAAAACCCTGTATATTGTTACTCATTGGTCAAAATATTAAAACCCTTTTTAAAAGAGTTTGTGAATATCACTTTATACATATAAGCACATAAATAAAAAATCCCATTTTCCAGGACATGTTGAAAAAGCATAGGATACCCACAATCTTTATTCATCTTTACAATATGACTTGTAAATTCCTAATCACTGAAATATTTTCATTATTCTATAAGGATTTTTATGGTCTCAGAAGATTATGTAGAAATAATAGTAATAGAAAATCAAATATAAAAAAACACATGTGCTGATTTTAGGAGTGTAACAAAAATATGTAAATCCTTGTTTGTTTGTTTGAAACTTTTAGAAAAGTTGTGTCAATAATAAAGGTTTCTCTTTACAAGAGTTAAGGAAAGAAAGCAAAATAAAATATTGACATTGCTAATGTTTATCAAAAGTAGAACTCCAAATTTATTCTTTAGTCTGTAAGATGGGGGAGCTATTGCATTGTACAATCCACTAGCCAATTCTATTCTAAACAATTTGCTTTGATTAAGTAATTTGTAGAAAATGATGACCCAAGCTAAGGTAAGTGACACTTTAATGGGGGTTACAGCCTAATGACACTGGGCCTTTAAGGGAGTTTCAATTACTAGAACTATCACATATTAGTTTGCTACTAATATATTTAAAGTGAGGTAGTAATTTTCTCTACATTAACAATTACTAGTATTTCAATTTTGGGTTAACACTTATTTTTCTTTCCATGAGAGTTTGTCTTTCTGTACAACATGAAAAAACTTTTACTTAAATTCTTTTTTATTGTCTAGTTATGCTTCCCCTTAAAAATCATGATAGCTTTAGCAAATCTCTTAATCACCATAAAGAGCAAGAGGGAAGAAGACAGAAGATGAATGCTTTATAAACTTAACCTTGAGAGAATCCAACTTAGAACAGAAGTAGAATGTCTTAAGTGTTTTATCCTACAATACGAATGTTGAGAAGAAGGAAAATAGTAACACTACATAAATTGTAACCTAGAGTCTTTCTAAGCTAGGTTGGCAAGTTGGTCATGAATAGCCAATAATCTCACACATTTAGAGTTATGATTACAGAAAGAATTTTAGCGATGTTCTAAGGTTCTTGTAAGACAAGTGGGAAACTAAGATGAAGGAAAACTGTACACTACAGTTAATTGTTTGCTGCCTTCTCTTGGTGTTAATGGAAACCCTTTGAAATGAGATAATTGTATATTTCCAGTCCTATCCTGTAGGTTAAAAAGTGAGATGTGTGTTATATCTCTAAAGTTATTAGTTAATTGCCAGCAATCATGGTATTCTATAAATGTCAATTCCTTTAACTTATTCAAAAACATAGGGAAATCTTAAATAATACCTGTATATTAAATTTAAGATTCTTGAAGAATATGTGTATAAAAGTAACCTGTAGTGGGTCACCTGCTGGTGCCAGGGGTTAAGTCTCAGCATAATGAAGCTATCAGCAGCCACTTCAGCACAGGCTTGTTACCTACCCCAGCCAGGGAGCTGACCCACATGGTGCAGCAAACCTCGCCTGTCTTGCCTGCTGCTCCACTCAGCAGTGTATCTCTGCCAGTCTGCCTGTTCTACTCCCCACTCTGTCTCAGGTGAATCCTCTCACCCACCCCCACCCTGCCTCTTGCCTACATCCCAGTTCTTATATGCATAAATAAAATATCATAAAAAAAAAGAAAAGAAAGTGTGCCCTCCCTGGTGGTCCAACAGGTTAAGGCACACAGCTATGAAGCTAAGCTAGCTGTAGTCCCTTCAGCATGAGTTTGATCCCCCACCAGGGAGCTGACCTACATGGTGCAGCAGAACTTCCCTGTCTTGCCCACTGCTCCCCTCAGCAGTGTACTTAGCCAATCTGCCTGTTCTGCTTCCCGCTCAGTCTCTTAACCGCTCCTACACCTCTGGCCTGTACCCCAGTTCTGTATGCATACAATAAAATAATCTTTAAAAATATATATATTAAAAAAAGAAATAAAGTAAACTGTAGTTATGAAATACAATAAACATACTAGTTCTTGTGTCTTATTTCCTTAATAGGTGGCGTATCAGTGTGGATATCTTTATATGTCATTTATGTTATAAAATATTTCAGCTACAACCTTGAATATAAGGAACAAAAAAAGTCCAGTGGTAGGTGCTTTACAGATAAGGTATATATTTTCCTTGATGTTATGAAATTTGTGGTGAATACTTATGTGGACTAGTACATGTAAAAGAAAGAAAGTCCTATTTCTTTCAAAAATCAAAGTTTTTAATTTAAGATTGCAATCATCCAACTGTTTGAAAATAAGTAAATGCTTCCTTACTATTAGCCATGATTTAAAAACTCCATTATAAATTAATGCAAAGTAACATAGTAGATATAACTTTAGTAATAGAAAATCTGAAATATATGTGCTGATTTTAGGAGTGTAACTACACAGGTAAACATGTAATTCAGACTTATTGGAGCACCATCTCTAACTGTCTCTAATAAGCAACCTATCATCTTTCTGAGATGAGAGGTAAAAACATGGCTTTTTCATTAGTCGTTTGTTAAATCAACCTTATAATAATTCCCGAGATCATTTAACCCATCAATAAAATGTTAAGTATATTTAGAAACTTGGAATGTTTTTATTAGCACCTATAACTTCTGAAGTTTATTGAGTAATGTGACTTGTATAAACAGTGTAGTATAGTGAAAAGAAAGTGAATTAGCATTTGAGGACATTGAGATATTGCCAACTCTGCTGCTAATTGGTTTTGTGGCTTTTGTAAGGTCATGTAATATCTTTGAACTTTAGTTTCTTCATCATATTATAAGGCTCATGAGTCAGACAATCTCTGAGATATATAGCATGGAAACTTGAGCTATTCCAATTTAAATGAACTGGAGTTAAATTCAGCATTAAAAACTTGGCATACTAGAATTGTAGTTTATTTTTAAACATTAATAAAACATTAAAAACTGCCTATGGTTAATGTCAAAAGATTTTGTATTAAAAGTATTTTATTTTTTCTAACTTTATTGAAATAAACATATACCATTATGTAAATTTAAGTTGTAAACAAGCTGACTGGCAATATTGCAAAATGATTACAATAAGGTTAGTTAACACATCCATCACGCACATAGTTAATATTGTGTGTGTGTGTGTGTGTGTGTGTATCTACTCTTAGAAACTTCCAAGGTTGAAATATAGTACTATTAACTGTAGTCTGTATGCTGTACATTAGTCCCACAAAGTTTACTGTGCCCTTTAATCATCTTTACTTAGATATTTTTCAAAAGTTAGTGCTAAGAAATCCAATGCTATTCTGTAAGTCATGAGTCTAATATGTACTTGATGTGGGAGTTGCACAACATTAAAATATTTTAGAAGCATATCTAAATGTGTGATCTTTATAAAATACCAAAGCTGTAATACAAGTGATGGACATTTAATCATATTTTATTGTGTGTATTATAGTTATTAAGAAATAGCTCAGCATCTTTGTTGATGAGTGTAAGTATGTATAAGAAAGACAGGGCAGGAAGGAAAGTAATAACTGGAGAAAAATTTGAAAACCTAAATACATAGCATAGTATAGTGCTTAAGTTCACAGGCTTAGAAATCACATTTGATATTTTATTTTCAGTGTCTGCCACATGTAAACAGATTAACTTTTCTGAGTTTCTTCATTTATAAAAATCAGATGACAATAATCACTGCACAAAGGTGGTATAAAGATAAAATGAGGTAATATTTGTAGATTGCATAGAAGAGTACCTGGAACAAAAGTTTCCTTAAAATATGAAAAAGTTCATTAAATATGTTTAATATTAAACTCAAATACATACATATATAGTTTTGCTTTGTTTATTTCATTCAAATGAACTTTATGAAAATTATAAGTTTATCTTAATCTGTTAAGACAGAAAAGTAATTCAACTATAAAAATTACTATATATGTGAAAGAACCATATACCCAATCTTTCATAAATATGAGTTAATAGTACTAACATATTCTTGAGATCTTTAAATATATTACCATGTGCTTAAGACTAGATCCCCTTGAAATTTTTTTAAATCACCTAGGAAATATCTTCAAATAATATTTAATATTTTAAATTTTACTTAATTTTCAACATTTTCACAAAAGTATTTTTACAGATATCATATTTAGATATCTGACATATACTTTTAGATAAGCCAGACTCAGGAACATATTTGACAAATATCTACCTCTAAATTTTAGCCCAATTTACTATTTTATGGTGACTATGGTTTTAATTATTAGTGAAAAATT